GAGAGAGAGAGAGAGAGAGAGAGAGAGAGAGAGAGAGAGAGAGAGAGCGAGAGAGAGAGGACAGGAGGGGGAGGGGTTGAGAGAGAGCGAGAGGGTGGTGAGTGTCTGGTCGAGAGGTAGAAAGTGAAAACGGCAGAGGATGGCGATGCGGAATAATTGGAGATACTGTGGTTAGTTAAAAATTAAAAGGGTGGGTATTAAAACAAGAAGAGGGGGAGGGCAGAAGGGGGTCATGGTTTTAGTGAAAACACTTCCCTGCTCCCTCTCTCTCTCTCTTACACTGATTCTGTGGAATCAACGTGATGGCTGACATTTCAATTTGGGAGGACTCGTCATGCCTTGTTTGCCCACATCGGTCAACACAGCTGAGGAGAGCACAACACGCATGTCTTCTACATCCTCAAATGAAAAAAAGTACTGTATCTTTGTTAATTAGGGCAATAAGCGGCACTATGAGGAAGATGAGAATAAACAGTGCTCAGTTGGAGGTCCTTTGATGGGTACCTTCACGTAAAAAACACAGCATTGACGAAAAGCCTCCACAGTCATGCTGGAGAGCTGTTTGGACTTCATTCCAAATGTTACAGTTTAGAACCACGGTCATGAAGGAGCACCAAAAAGCAGCACAGTCTCACTAATCTTATCGCCTCAGAGAATTGTTCACACTCATGAACTATTAGGATTAGAGGCAGAAATACTTGACCAAAGCTCATTTAAAAATCACATAAAATCCAGAAACCACAGCTGACACTGACATTCAAACAGCTGCACACAACAAATTGTGCTTCACACCCCCATATTTGGCTTATAACAGAACAGTGAAGTTATCAAGTGAGATTATTATATTCAAAGACTGATGAAAATAAGAAGAGAGACAGGATACCATAGGTTGTTAATCGGTGTGTTAACAAGCAAAGCAGCTCTGCTGTACGAGGCCTGTACTCAAATGTTCATATAAATTGTGTACTTGGGTTTTTCCCCTGTAGGATTTGCGCTGACTGAGCAATACACCATAGGCAGCGGCTGCAATAAATAATGTAATTTTTTGCATTTATATCATAAACCTTTCATCATTAGCACATATTGCACTCGTGTCAATTATAGTTAAAATAATACACAACGAGGAGGAGAGATTAAGTAACACTTTAATCTGTGTTACACTATCACCCATTAGTTGTCATTAGGCGCGAGTGGAGGCTGAGATGCGGAGATGGAGCTGTTGCTGCTGGGAAAGGTGTGAAAGTGCGTTCAGCTCGAATGGGCAGTGAGTAAATTATTCAAGCTGCTCTTCTATACACGACTACACGCGGCCAGGTTACAGCATACACTGCTCTCACTGATCCTAGTCATTCACACACTTACAGAGCAGATGCCATGTACAGTATATGCTAACGGATATGTGAAAAACATAGACAAAACATATCCTTATTTACGGAGAAAACCCCATATATGTCTGAACACAGTAATGGAGCCAAAATCTGTGGAAGCATCCGATGCCCAACTTAACAACCAAGTCACACATGGACAATTACGTCTATAACTAATACTAGTGCTGTATGCAGAATATTGTGAATTTCCTGTGTGTGCTGTGCGTCTGTCTGTGGAGCCAGTGGGGGCATCGCAATCTCCTGCTTCCCTAAGTTATTAACGCTGCTCCATAAGCAGATCCACTGCTGCCTCACTGATTGCTTTTCAGATGCATCATTAGACGCAGCATATTAACAAGATGAACAAACCATTTCATATACAGTGTCATATGAGAATGGGGGGGGGGGGGGGTGTCTGCATACTGTACCGACATACACACAATTATGTATCAAGATGATCAAAAGGAGGCTTTGTATTCTGCACATGCAAGGTCACCGCTGCTGGGAAATGGTGGCCCCCAATCAAATTAAAACAATCGAAAACAAACCTCCAAGCAAATTGAAAGAGACTCTCCTTGTCTGAGCTGCAGCATCTGGTTCACAAAAGATCCATAATATATATGTATATGTATAATAAACACCCAAAATGGTGCAAGCCTAATATAAGCAGCATACATTCACATCTCAATAACTCCAAGAAGCCATTGCCTGGAAATACTTTCCTCCATTTTTGCCTCGCTGTGTATGTGATACAGGTTTAATGAACAGCCCGGTTATGGCGGCTAGCTCCGGCCATTTAATTAAATGAGTGGGCGAATATAGACATATACCCAAGGACAAGAGGGGTTTGTCATGCCTGGCGTCCCAACGCATTAACTCACATCTCTGTTAATGAGACATGAAAACCTGTGCTCATTTAGCAGCCATGACTGGAGATACACGTGGGTCATCCAGGTGCTAAGATAAAATTAGCTCATAGGAAATAACAGTAGCCACTCTTTACCAGCAAATTACCCTTTTAAGTTTAATGTGTAGTGTTAACAAGCATGTATATTTAAGCTCCTAATTATAAATATTCAACCATGTAGAGTTAACATGGATTTATGTTGTTTGAATCCCTGGTATGTATATTTCAATCAAGGCTGCAAGAATGCTACTAAATGCTAAGCTAAGAAACTAAATGGACCTTGTAAGCCTGATAAATGTTTTCTCAATTGCTATTGGTCAAGAATGAACTTTAAATCCCAGCTTTAAAACCATGGATTCCTTGAAGTCCTTAAAGAAAATGTAAATCTGAACCTTTCAAAATAACTGGGCATGTGTTGATGAAGACCATGACATGTGATCAAAAGCTCCAGAATCTTCATATACAAGTAATTGCGACTCAATTAATGTCTGCAGTTTGGACGATGAGGACAATGAAAAGTGATTAATTCTGTCATTTAAAATCCAGGCAGCAGAGTGGTATGTGGATTTATAATATGCCTATAATATTAATTGTGCTGAAGCGCTATTAACTTGGCTCTCTCATCGCTCACTTTCACTTTCTGCTAGCGATATAGTGATTTGTCCTCTCATGTCTCTTGCCCCTTAGTCTCCATCTCTCCCTCTCTATTTCAGCTGACCAGCAGACAGGCTGAAGTTGTCCAGGTGAAGTTGAATTATGTTATGGCTAGATTTGTAATCAAGACAATGGCATTTTGAGGTCCAGCGGCAGCCTGGCCAGAAAACAAAAACAATTGTAGTTGTTTAAAAAAAAAAAATGATGTATCACCCTCTCGGTAGCTGTTGTCCCGCTCAGTGAGGTGCTTAAGAGTTACAGCACTGCTGACCGACACAACTGAAAAGCAATGTGAGGAATCAGCTAAAAGTAACCCTATTGTGGTTGGAATATGTAATTTTATGCTAAAAGTAATAATATTTATAGAAACCTATTCATTCTTGTGGTTGCTTAAGAGGGATTCATATACATAATGTAACATCTGTGACTGGTTAAACAAAATTAATATCTTTATACCTCTAAAACAACATGTATGCGGTTGATGGATTTATTATAGAACATCACAAAATGTCCATTACTGAAGTACTGGCAGTGTCTCATGAGGATATTCATCGCTGAGTACAAAAAGCTGTCACAACAGAAAACAGTAGCCAAATTAGACTTTGGCGAAAAAGTGTAGTAGGGATGCAATTAATTAGATTTGTAAGAAAATATCTTTCTATATTTAGCATCCTTCAAATCAAACATTCAATTATTAAGGCATAAAACTGCATACCACCTCCATACATACATAAGTAATGGAAGTAATCAGGAAGCGAAGGACTATTCAAATCTGAAATGGAATAAATCAAACGCTGTTTAAAACCATGCAGACTGTTGTTGAAGCTTTTTTTCCCCACTGACTGCACATGGATTTTTAGCATGTATTAATGCACACAAGAGGACCTAACACAGAAAAAGGGGATATACAACACCCAGGTTGACATGCAGAGAATGTCTTTTTGCTATACATAGTATTTCCTCCTGAATGTGGAGCCATGCACTAGAATCAAGAGGGATGAAAAAGAGACAGCACACTGAAGAAAAGCCATGTTGGAGCATTGTTAACCCAGTGTTAGTAGCCGAGGGGAAGATCCTGGAGAAAATGAGCATAAAAGATAGCAGAGACTCTTTGATCAGTGCTTTGATCTGCCTGCTGCAGTGGAAACCCACAACACCAGTATGTTCCCCATTACACCAGTAAATCATACAGCCTTCCAGCAGAGAGAAGTGGGAGCACACCTGTCTGAGAGGAGGGTGTGTGTGTGTGTGTGTGTGTGTGTGTGTGTGTGTGTGTGTGTGTGTCTGCGCGTGTGTTGAGTCTAAGTGTGTTCATGTGTGTTTTTATTGATCTGAGTCAATGTGCATTTCCAAGTGTACAGTAGCCAGATGCACTCGGTAATTGTGAATTGATTGAGGGCTTTACAGACGCTTAAGGTGCTTTTAGTTGAAAGTGGGCAATTTCAAGTGTGAAGATGTTGCCTTCCTGTTTTTGTGTAGGTGTGTGTGTGTGTGTGTATGTGTGTATGTGTGTGTATGTGTGTGTGTGTTTGTGTGCGAGTGTGAAAAGCTGCAATTTTAAATCCCTCTGCTACTTCAGCACAATGGACAGCACCATGTCAATAAACGGGACAGTGTGAGCCACTTCTGGGCCACTCCTGAAACACGCTGCAGTGCGTCTGATGGAATCACACGCACCGTCTACAGTGGCCACGTTCAGCTCCGGCGTCTGTGTCGTAGCCTGAACACGGTGCAGCTGCACTCGGTGGAGGCTGCTGATATTTCAGGTGGCAGGTTAACAAGGGGCATGCATTTTGGTCGTTTTGCTAACAAGAGGGATGCCCCCCCCTCCCCTCACAAATCACCTACTACGAGTGTGTACTGTGTTAAATCTGTACGAAGCAATCCTTTCCCGCTGGTATTCGTCCTGAAGTGACACATTATCACACGGTGTTGTGTGTATGTGCCTGTAAGTGTGTGTGTGTTATGTGTGCATGCATGCATTTCTCTTCCTACACCCTGTGTGCA